CGCTGCCAACGCTGACAAAAATCGTTTGGGAAAATCACGGGTGCTCATGGTGCTGTGCGGGCGCCGCCCGCGTCAGAGGCTGTTGCTTGTCCTCCTGCTGCTCTCTCGTCCCCCCCCGAACCAGGTGTCATCGATTTCGACCAGCGCGAACATCGGCCTCAAAACGCCGACATGTCCCAAGTAGGCCGCGCTCCCACTCGTATGCCTGAGCTCCGAACCCCTAGCTGGGGAAGATGTTCGTACGGTGGTGCGCATCGGACTCTCCTCGGGCAGAACCAGGATCGCTCGTGTCGCACGCAGGCAAAGAAAGCCTACCCTAGCAACCTCTGCGGTGCCTTGGCAAGCTATTGCCAGTTGCGATGTGTAGATCTTGACTTATGTCAACGATGATGCTGACTACGAGATTCAAGCTGACACGGGCGACATTTTGTTTAGTCTTCTGGAGTGGTTTGTTCCGTGGTCTCAGGATGCCGATCAGAGATGCGTTCGGGCCCCGAACTTTGCTCACAGAGCGTCTTACACAAGTGGACGAGCTGATCCTGAATTGTCGCGCTTCTTCCCCCCAGCCAGAACAGAGGCCGCCCCAGGCCCTGGTCGAACAAGAGATATGCAAATTCGAAGAATTCGCGGATCTGTTCGTTTCGACGCGCGCTCAGGCAGCGGACTGGGCCTTGGATGTCACCCCCATCGTCCCTTCCTCTGGTCCTCCGAGTCCGTTCCCTCCGCCCCCCCCCCCCCGCCCTCGCGTGCTGAGCAAGGAGCAGTTGGCCGAAATCCATTGCAACAGAGAGACTGCGCGCGCCATTCGGCGCGCCAGAGCGCTAGACGAGACCAGGGCCGCACGCGCTGCAGGAGCCAGTTGGGCGGCCCCTGGAGGCCATCCCATCGTGCATGACATGTTTTTTGCAAGGCACAAGGCTACGCGGTTGTCGCCTCCTTGCTCTGCGCCCCTCGTCCCACCTCGTTTTTTAACGCGCGGTTCTCGTGAGGCCCCAATTACAGAGCACGCCTAGAATAATGCCTGCGGCGAACAAAAACTCCTCTCATTCCCTTCCTTCCTCCTCCCCCTCCGTCCTCCATTCCTTCTCCTTCTAGATAATTCCTCCCTGTCGCACCCCAAAACCAGTTTGTAGGGCGGGCCAATCGTTTCGCCTGAGACTTCCTTACCACTTATGACTCTGAAGCTTAAACAGTGGCAACCGTTTCACAAATGGAGGGCGGGTGGTTTTCAACATGTGGCTCTCGCCTTGGCGCCGCGCACATTCCTTTTAAACAGATACAGGAGCTTCACGTATTGAACGCGGGTCGTTTAAACAATGTGGCTCTCGCATTGGCGCCGCGCACATTTTTCGCACAAATCTGCAAGAGTTTCACGGATTGCGGGCAAGCCGTGTTCAAACATGTGGCTCTCGCCTTAGCGCCGTGCACAACGGTTCTGAACAAGTGCAAGAGCTTCACGGTTTGAGGGCGGGTCGTTTACAAAATGTGGTTGTCGCCTTGGCGCCGCGCACATTCGTTTCCAAAAATGCACACATGTTTTACGGATTGAGGGCGGGTCGCTTACACCATGTGGTTTTCGCCTTAGCGCCGCGCGCATGATTTGCAAACACTTGCAAGAGTTTCACGGATTGAAAGCGTCTCCGTTTAAAAATGTGTCTCTCGCCTTAGCGCCGCGCCCTTTTAACCATTTGCAAGAGTTCGACGGATCCCCATGATCAACGTAACCAAATTAGTGTTTCGGAAGGAATCAGGATTATGCGGGTGCAACAGTGATGTTGACTCGCGGTGCTGAAATCCCCAAAATGGCCATATGGCACGATTCTGGATCGCTCAAACGCAACAGTCAGGTTGATACGTGGCGTTGAAATCCCAAGAACAATGCTTTGACATGCTTCAGAATCTTTAAACGGTTGTCTTCCAACAGGACAATCAATGGAAATAAAACATTGTAGGAGCCTATGAAGAGGAAGCTTGGGGGGAGGGTTTACTCCAACATCGTTGATGAGTCTTGGGTTTACACTGGTCCTCCTCCTCCTCCTCCTCCTCCTCCTCCTCCTCCTCCTCCTCCCTCCTCCCCCCATCCAGCTGCCGCGACAGCTCCTCTGTGCGCAGCAAAGGGCTGCGGCGAGACCGCGTGCTGCCGCGCGGCCAGGGGCGGCGCTTTCCCAGAAAACGAGGCTGCGCCCCCGACGCGAGATGCTTCCTGGGCCGGCCGCGCGGCCTGCCCAGAGGCCCCTGGCGGCGGCACTCTGCCGCTCGGACCCGGCCGCCTGGCGCCGCCGCCCAGTCCGAGGCGCAGCGTCCGTTTTGGAATCGGTTTTGTTGTTCGTTTCGCTCTGCCCGCTTTCCTGTCCTAGACAAACGCGCTCCGCTACTCGCAAAGCAACTACTCGCAAATGGTCTGGATCCCACCCCAGGGAATCTACGATTAATCTCATCGAAGCGAACACATTTTTTCGTACGTTTGCGAGTAGGCACTTTGCGAGTAGTGGAACGCGTTCGGTGATGTACCTCCCTCCCACAGCAGCGTCTAGGTCCGACCCTGAGGCGCAGACGTCGCCCTCCTGGCGCGCCGGGTCGCGCAGGGCGAAGCGCAGGACAGGGCGCAGCTGCGTGCCGCGCAGGCCCCGCAGGCGGCCGCGGCGCAGGCCCTCCCGACCGGGCGGCCCTCGGACGCGCCGGCCGAGGAGGGGCCGGAGACGCCGAAGGCCCTGGAGGAACAGGCGGCCCCCGCCACGAGGGCTCCGACAGAGGCGGAGGCCGTGCGCGGCGAGCTCACAACTCCGGAGGCCGCCGACGCCGTGCGGCCCTGGGCCGCGCCGCGAGAGCTCATGCAAGATGCCGAGGCCCGGAGCGCAGCGGAGCCTGCTTCCGTGCAGCCGGCCCTCGCAGCTATACTGCAGGCCGAGGCAGAGGCTGGAGGCGGAAGCTGCTGGAGGCTGGGGAGGCCCACGCGGACGGGGGACAGGCCGACGAGGCCCTCGACGCGCAGGCCCGCGCAAGGCGCAGGCCGGCGCTTGCCGAGCACCGCCCTGGACTTTGGACGCCCGAAATGGGTACTGAAAGAATGGGCACAATGCCCAACAGCAAATGTTGCCCCGAACCAACAGCGGCCGCTGTTGGGCAGGCGGCCTTCTGTCTCGAATGGACACAGGCCGCGGCGGCGTGGACAGCGAGCCCTGTTCACAATGAACAGGAACTGCTGTTGAGCATCGTACCCGTTCTTTCCGTGCCCATCTCGTTCGTGCAGATGGACGTGAGCTCGGGCTCGCCGTAGCGACAGGCCGACACCCTCGACGTGCAGAGCCACCAGAACGCCGCCCGGAAGGCGGGCTGGGGCTGCTCCGCCGCGGAGGCCTCGGTGCACCTCGCCGCGCACGCCTCGCTGCGGGCCAGGAAGACGCTGGAGTGTGCAGGCCGCCCGGCGGCCTCCCGCGCGGACGCCAGCGCCGCGCCGCCGCCGGCCGCGCCCGCCGCCTGCGCGGCGCCGGAGCTCTGCGTCCGGGAGGCTCTGGAGGAGGGGCGGGAACTACTCTCGGGCAGCGCGTGCTGCTCGTCCAGGGCTTCGGCGCCGGCTTCAAGTAGCAGAGGGGGCGCGGAGCACTGGCAGGAGGAGGTCGCCGTCCAAGCCATCGCCCGTTTCCGCACGGGCTGCCTGGTGGTCGACGGCGATCCTTGAGGCAGAGCTTCCACCGAATGCTTCGATTTCAACGAGGCCCAGAGCGGTGCTCTCGACGTGAGCTTGGGACTGTCGGCGCGGCCGCCATCACGGCGGAGGACTCGGAAGAGATGAGCGACGCCAGCGAGGACGACCTGGGCGACACGGAGACCAAAGACGCTGCTCTAAGTACCCCCCCTGCCGTGTAGCTCCGCAAAACCTGTCGAGGCTCCAGGAGGCCATAGCACGGTTGGAACTGCTCGTGGCGGCGATGCCGGCGAACGCGACCGCGCTGAGTCTGCCGTGCTGCAGTTCGACCGCGTCGACGCCGCCCAGTCTGGCCTCGACTCCTTCGGCGACGCGGCCGACTCCGGGTCCGAGTCCGGCTCCGAATCCAACGTCTACGATTACGAGCCTGGCGACGCCGAGGAGACGCCCGGGCTTTGAGCACGAGGACCTGACCGACAGGATGAAGGAGGCCACTGAGGCCAAGCTGTCCGCGACGGTGCGTGTCGAGGCGGACGCGCCAGACCACGCCGCTCAGGCTTCGCAGGACCAGGTGCAGCAGGTTCAGGAGCAGGCCCGCGCCGCTCCGGCCGAGGCGGGGCATGAGGAGGGCAGCACAGCGTCCGAAACGCTGAAGGAGTCCGCCCCCCTGTCCTGTGCCGATTGTCGGCCACGGTGCCGCTTGACGTCTTTGCGCCGCCAGCACGGTGCGTCGACGCGTGGATCGACGCGTGGACCGCTCACCGGCAAAAATATTCCGAAGACTTCATGCTATGTGGCCTCTTCTATAGGCTGGCACACCGGAAGTCATACCTTCCTTGTCCATACTTACAAAGACCCTCTGTCTGAGGGGGCTCCTCAGGACACAGAGCTGCATAGTGCAGCATCGGTCCTACCGATCTCTTACTTGGGAGCAGCGGATCTCGTCGCGATTCTTACTCGAAGTGTCCAGCAATGGCTTTTATCTCTTAGGGAATAGCTCCTTGAGACGGCTCGTGTAGGTCCCTCCCTGGGCCCGGAGCGGGCGGCCTGCGACCTGGACCTGACTTAGCAAGCCCAGGACGCAACCGAGGCCGACCTCCGTCGCACGCCTTTGCCCGCCGCAGCCCCCTCCTCCTCCTCCTCCTCCTCCTCCTCCTCCTCCTCCTCCTCCTCCTCCTCCTCCTCCTCCTCCTCCTCCTCCTCCTCCTCCTCCTCCTCCTCTTCCTCTTCCTCCTCCTCCCCCGTCCTCCTCCTCCTCCTCCTCCTCCTCCTCCTCCTCCTCCTCCTCCTCCTCCTCCTCCTCCCTCCTCCCCCTCCTCCTCCCGCCTACTCCTCCGATGCTCGTGGGGTCGTCCTCGGACTCCATGAGCCCGAAACCAATCGTCTTGACGGAGGACCCCAGGAGGGCCACGCCGCCGCCAGCGCCGGTATCAACGGGAACCTGCAGCGAGCAGTAAACCCAGCGGCGCGGCGAGTTGGCCACTTGCATGATGGGCAGAAGCTGCTGTATACTCGTACTCACGTTTTTACCCGAACATGGAAGAACCAACAGCGGCATAAGCATGAACTGTCGGAGCTCCGAAAGATTTTGCTCACATGGCGCTTGCTCAAGGAACATATGCTTTAGCATAATGGGTTCCTACCTGGCCATCAAAACAGCGTGTCCCGAGGCCTCTGCCAGCGTTGCTGATGTGGTTGTTGCTGACATTACCGATGTGTTTCGTTTGGGTGTTACATTGCTATGGTGACGAGACTACTGTCATGCGTATTCGGAGACGACGTTGGGGCAATTGCTGGCGCAAAAACTAACATACAAATGCGCACACTAAAACATTATGCCGACACTTACGTTGCACGCATCCCCCGCAACCGGCTTGACCCACGCGGGCAGCCCCCCGTGCTCCAACCTCAGCTTCAGGAGAGCGATGTCGTGCCCGTGGGAGCACTTGCCGTCGAAGTCCGAGCTGCACATCACGTCGGCCACCACGCGGAAGCTCCTGCGGCCCCCCCCCCGCGGCCGCCTCCTCTGCTCTGTTCCGCACTCCTCGCTTGGCAGACCTCGCTCAACCTTCCACTGCATCCCCACTCCGTCCTCGTCCTTCTTCTCCAACCCTTCCTTCCCCCTCATCAACCCTCCGCCTTCATCTCCTTCCTCCAGCCTCCTCTCCTCCTCAATGCCCTCTCCTCCATACCACTTCTCATAATCCGAATTCTCTTCCCTTTTTGCGGCAGGCCAGCATGAAGGGGCGCCTGCTGCATGTAATCCCGCCAGCCCTCTGGGCGCAGGTGGTATATCGGTTCTTGTCTTTCCCCTTCCCCAGTCAAGGGAGGGGAAGGACCCCCCGGACCCAGGTCTCGCGTATATAATCCCACCAGCCCTCTGGGCGTCGGTGGTTTAGGGCGTTTCCTCTTCCACCCCTCACTCTTCCCCTTAGGGGAGGGGTTTACCCCTCCCCCTACCCCCTCCCCACTGACTTGGGCAGGAGGGGCGGAGAGCGGTCAGCTCTTCTTTGATAGATCTCCTCCAAGATGGCACAAAGAAGCGCCCAGGAGGCCCCAAGAGGTCCCAAGATGGCCCCAAGATGGCCCCAAGAGGCCCCCAAGAGGCCCCCAAGAGGCCCCCAGAAGGCCCCCAAGAAGACCCTCAGAGGCCCCAAGAGGCCCCCCCCCCGAGGCACCCAAGACCCCGAAGAGCCCCCCAGGATCGCCAAGAGACCCCCAAGACGTCCCAAGAGGCCCCCAAGAATCGCCCAAGAGATACTCCAAGAGGCTCCTAGAGGCATCCAAGAGACCTCTGGCCCTTGTGCTTGCCCTCCTCCTCCTCCTCCTCCTGTTCCTCCTTCCTGCTCCTACTCCTTCTCTTCCTCCTCCTCCTCCTCCTCCTCCTCCTCCGCCTCCTTCTCATCCTATTCATCCTCCGTCTTCCCACTCCCTCATCCATCCATCCATCCACCTCCTCCTTCTCCTCCTCACTCCTTTGCACGGTTCGGCCTTCCTCCTCTTTGCTGCCGCACTTCCCTGATCACCTCAACTCGCCTGGACATCGTTTCGGGATGGGCTGGTGGGGATAAGCGAAGCGTCTAGAATATCCATTGGCACCAGGGACCCAACAGATGTGATCCACGCGGCCGTGGATCTACAGACCAATGCTATGATTATACGGGGGAGCGGTTCCGAGTCCGCGCGCGCCGGCGATCACAAAAAATAAAAAACAACAGAACATTCGATGTCGCGGGAGGTTGTAGAGTCCGCCTCCAAAATGGCACCAAATAGCCAATGATGGTTTCTGGCATGCCTTTTGTTTACCCTGACTCGCGGGAGGAATCGCCATTGTGGCGTAGTCAGCTGCCAAGTCTCCAACCCAGCCCGTCCATGCGCACGTCAAGTGGCAAGTGGAACGAGAGAGCGAGCAAACCTTGGGCCAAACGGCGCGCGAGCAAAGTGAAGTGAAGCAGAGCGCCGCGACGTCAAATTGCGGCGCTACCCGGTGTTACCCGGGCGCCTGCAAGGATGGACTTGCCAGATATGGGCCGATGGGGGCCCAGCAACTTGGCGCCGTGGCTCCGCAATGAACAATCAACCAATGCGAAATCGGATGAAAGTCGAACTCGCCAGGTGAGACCTGCACGCGCCTATCAAGTTCCGAGGGCAGACTACTGCCCAAAAGCTGGGCAGCGTGATTCCCATGGGCTGGCACTGAAAGGTGGCAACACACATCATCGTGGAAAACTGGCGTACGCTCCTGGCCCAAAGTGGGCTCTTCCCCATGGGCGCGTACCTAACACATCGGCACATCGGCACGCTGGCGAATGAAGTAGCTGGACGGGTACTCAACTGAAACCAGCCGGGCCCGAAACCTCGGAATCGAAATTCGCACGACGGAGCAGGAGGAAGGGTACGATCTATGGTGGTTCGCCCAAGGCGAGGTCCAGACACTTCAGGCGCATCCTCAGGGTGTCCACTCAATTGACGTACATATTCACATGGTAATCCACGAACGGCGCCGTCGCTGGCAATACCCCCAGACAGAAACAAAAACGAAGCCGTCCAGGATAACGACCTCGAAATAGCCCACGCCCGAGGGGCAGCAGGAGCCATGGACGATCGGCACCATCGCGCTGATACCCTCCGTCCTGCGCCAGGGCCTCGCTGCCGCAGCGTCATGGGTAGTCCTCGAAGCAGCCCACGCCTGCAGGGCAACTGGTGCCACGGGCGATCGGCAGCCCCTTGTTGACGCCGGGCCCGTTAAAGCAGTCCACGCCCCAGGGGCAGCTGGTACCGCAGAGGACCGGCAACCTCGAGTTCTTGCCCAGGGCCTCGCGGCCCCTGCCCAAGCCTGCCGGGCGCCTATGTCTGGGGGAGGGCCGAATCCGCAGCATGCGGGCGGACGGCTGGGGGCTGAGAGGAATGGGCCTGCTCGAATGCCATGGTCAAGCCTCAGAGCCCCCCATGGCGAGAGGTGGGAGGTGGGAGGAGGGAGGGGTGAGGAGGAGGGAGGAGGAGGCAGGAGGTGGTGGTGGGACGCTGGCACGAGACACATGTCTGTGCTCTGTCGACAGGGCCTCAGTCAACGGCAGTCCACGGAAGGAAGGCGGCCCTGCGACGCAGGACGCCAGGCACGGTGCTTACAGCAGCCGCACGGGCGATGCCTGGCAGCGAGCCTGGGGCGAGCCGGGGCGCCTGCGGTATCGAAGCAGCGGCAACCGGCACCTGCCCTGAAGAGACCCGCGGCGCCCAAAGAGCGCGCGCGGCCGCCGAGAGCGGCGGAGGCCTCCTCCTCCTCCTCCTCCTCCTCCTCCTCCTCCTCAGCCTTAACTGGCGGCAGAGCTCTCGCGCCCTCCCCGTGCGGCCAAGAGGACCGCACGCTCAGACGACGAGGCCTCTGCGCCGCCCCGGGCCCCGCAGGACAGGGAGTAGCATGGCTCCTCCTCCTCCTCCTGCTCCTCCTTCTCCGACTGCTCCTCCTCCTCCTCCTCCGAGCCTCCTCCTCCTCCTCCTCCTCCTCCTCCTCCTCCTCCTCCTCCTCCTCCTCCTCCTCCTCCTCCTCCTCCTCCTCATCATCATCATCATCATCATCATCATCATCTCATCATCATCATCATCATCATCATCATCATCATCATCATCATCATCATCATCATCATCATCATCATCATCATCATCATCATCATCATCATCATCATCATCATCATCATCATCATCATCATCATCATCATCATCATCATCATCATCATCATCATCATCATCATCATCATCATCATCATCATCATCATCATCATCATCATCATCCGCCTCCTCCTCCTGCCCCTCCCCCTCCCCCTCCTCCTCCTCCTCCTCCTCCTCCTCCTCCTCCTCCTCCTCCTCCTCACCCAGGTCCAGGGAAAGGAGCATAGAGGAGGAGGGAAGCAGGATGGAAAGGGAGGGGGGCGGGACAAACGGGCACGACGCCCAGCAGCAGGTGTCAAACAACAGCGACGGCAGAGCGGCCGGCTGCTAGACCAGCGCCCCATAGTTCGGAGCCCCAAGACCGTGTGGTGACGGTCCGCGCGGTAGACCTCAACGCACGGTCCCTCATCGCACGGTCTTGGGACCCTGGAGGCCCCAGTCGCCCGACACATCGTCGGAGCACAACACGAGTCCCAAAACTGAGCGGTCACGATAAATCCCCTCTGACTCATCACGGTGTGGTCACCACACGGCTTGAGGCCCCCGAAGCCGAAAGAGGGGGGACTGGCTCAGGGGAACATTACCTTGAGATCGGCGATGCATTGCCGATAGATCGGCGACAGGCCCCCGATCGCGCAAGCGCGCGCCGCCCCATCATCCCCCCCCTACCGCTGCCCCTGAGGTTCTATCAACCTCCGAATCCCCATCCTTCCCGTCGCCATTCGGGGGGGGGGGGGGGCGGGAGGACCAGCCAGGTCCCAGGCCCGAGCCGGACCGGCTCGCGAAACGAGACCGGGTACTGGGTCACGAACAGATCGGACCGCCGTCGGACGTCGGATTGCAAAAAAAACCCTTCGGGTTTTTTGCAATCCTTCGGTTTTTTTGCAATCCTTCGTTTTTTTGCAATCCTTCGTTTGTTTTGCAATCCTGCAGTCCTTCGAGCTGGATCGATCTTGGACCGCCGCGCGCGGGCCTGGCCGGCCCTGGCCGACGCTGGTGGTCAAACGAAAACCACCGCCACCGAGAGCACATCGGCCGGCGGGGGCCCACCCCCGAGCAGTGGCACGCCCGACCGCGAGGCGGTGCTGGGTGACGCTCGGGCGTGCCACCGCCCGGCGCATCCCCCGACGGGTCCTCGGTGGCGGTGGTCTCTGTTTCGCCTAAGGTGAGCCATGCCCCCAGACCTTC